GGAGTGATCCGGGAGGACTTCCCGAAGGAAGGGCTCACAGCTGGGCCTATGGGATGGACGTGGGAGCCAGAGGGCAGGGGCAGCCAAGAACACCAAGGAAGCCTTCAGCAGCAAAGCACCCACTAGGGAAGCCGCTGCTGTGATCTGGGGTGGGTGTAGACCAAGTACGGCTGCAGCAGAAGCAGGAAGAAGGACTGGCAGCCACCTCTGGTCCCCCACCAGATTTATCCCTCAGGTCCAAAGACCGTGTGGTAGACGGGTTTCCAAAAGACCCCAGTGAAAGAAAAATGCTCCAGGAGGGCTCTTAAGTAGGAATTTCTGCTTGGGCCTCAGTTTCCCCATCTGTAGATAAGGCCTTCGGTGACTTCCTTGGAGGAGGATACAGAATGGGTAACTGCGTATGCGGGCAGGGAGTGGAATAAAACACCATGAGGAGCATGAAGGGAAAGGCAGCCTTCAGGTTTCAGGAACCCCGGAGCTACCAGCCTGCTTGGTGGGGTCCTGAGCCCTCTGTGTGCCTAAGAGGCTGCTAAGTGCAGACATACCTGCCTACTACGCAGACCCCGGCAGGGTTCTGCCTGGCTATGGGCAGTCTGCCTGCCCACTGCCTGCCTTCCAGCCAGCCCACCCCCTCACCCTGGAGTCTGCATTAAGCAATCTCCATTATCACAAATGCCTGGCATTTTTGCCTGGTAACTTCAGCTCCCACAGCCCCACGAGGGTTAGGGCATGATTCGGGAGTAGGGAGGACTCTGGTAAGTGGAAATACCTGCAAAGAGACTTGGCAGCCTGATGGCCTCCGGCAATGTTTTGGATGCTCTAAGGTCTCCGTGGCCTTGTAAGGATCATCCACAGGGTGGCAAAGGCCATGGGCCATTTTTCTCTTGCATCCTTTCCCCACCTGTCACCTTATGCTGCCTTCCTGGGTGGACACAGTAGCCCCTCAATCCACTCCCTGACTCTGCCCCTGTGTGTCCCTCCTCTGCCAGGTCTGAAGCAGAGCTATGAACAGGTCTCCTCTCTAGAAAACGTTCCACTCCCATCCACCATCTAGGCCCTGCACCTGCCCTCTGCCCGACTCCTGGTCCTCCAAGTCTCCCACTCTCTGCTCGCCCAGGATGAGATTCGCAGACATCATGGACATCACCTCTCCGCTCTCACTGTTCCTTCCCACTGGACTGTTCTTCTCTCCAGTTCTCCACTTGTCCTTCAAGGGCCAGACTAGATGCAACCTCTGCCAAGGAGTTTCCACCCCCACTGGAAAGACTGACAGCAAACATTTATTGAGTCCTTGTGACATGCCAGGCCTTGTGCTAAGCGCTTCACAATGTATTAACTCACTTCATCCTTACGACAACCCTGTGAGGTTGCGTCCTCACAGATGAGGTGACCGAGGCCAGGAGGAGCTTCCTTGGAGTACTCAAGGCCACGCAGTAGAAGTGGTGGATCTAGCTAGTCCCGACCCCCTCTTGGTGTGGCTTCTTGCTGGCGTGCCTACAAGGCACCTCTCTGGTGCGTCCTGCTGTACTTCATGAAAATCACAAGCCCTAGAGCCAAGTTTCTTAAGCTTGACCCTAATTCAACTGATTTCGTTAAAATGCCAATTCTGACTCCCTAGGCCCCGGGGTGGAGCCTGAGAGGCTGCCTTTTTAAGAAGCTCTAGGCAGTGATACTGCTGCTGCTCTAAGGACCACACTTTGGTGAAACTAGAGTGCAGAGCAGACTAGAAGGGTCTTCCAGCACCATCACCTGCTTGCAGAGCTGAGGACCTGTGGTAGCCACATCCCTTCACTCCCCAGCCCTCACTAGAGCCTGGGACCCCACAGCCCTTCCTCCAGGGCTGGTGCTGTGGATGGTCTGGGTCCTGCCTCTGTCCCTGTCTTCCCCTGGAGCTCAGACTTGCAGACTCTGGGGAGCAGTAAGGTGGAATCTGAATGCACCCCTGTCTTGGGACATCCCCTAAGCCCTGGCCCAGCTCTGACCCCCAGGGAATATTTGTCTTTCTTCTGGAAACTCCTCTTTTTGCCTGTGCTGGCTCTGTGTGGAACACCTCCCAGCCATGAGGAAGGTGAAGACACTATTGGCTGGCAGGGCCTGCAGCTAGTGAGGAATTCTCTGGAGAGAAGCCTCGGTGTGTTGGGCCCCTTCTCCAGCTATGGGGACAAGGGAGGTACATCTCACCTCCTAAAGCCAAGTGAGGGAAGCTTCAAGAGAATTGCTTGGAAACTTTACTGAGCTTCCATGGAATGTGAGATGTTCTTGCAAAAATGGTGGCTGCCTCATCTGGGAAAGGGTGAGGGGAGAAGCCAAGATGGCGCTGCTCCTGACAGGCACCTAGCATACAACAGGGTCCAGCGGGGAAAGGTCCAGCCTACAGAGTGCAGGGATCAGAGATGTGCCAGGGCTTTGCATGGTCCAAATGTGGATCCTGCAGAAGGGAGACTTGGGTGTCTTACAAAGAGGATAGACAGGAGGCTGTCCCTTGCAGAGAATCTACCATAAGCAGCAGGTGGAAGATGACCCCTGTGCCCCGGCTCAAGAGAGATCGCTAGCATGGAAGGTCCCTTTAGAAAAAATGGAACCAGCACTGTTTATGTGCGTGCCAGCAGACACAGGGCAGCACCCAGTACAGCTGCACCACCCAGGTGAAAACTTCTTCCTTGACCTTTTTCCCAGCAGGAAGCTCCCAGGATCTGGTGCTTTGTCTTTATTAGAGGCTGCTAGGGATCTGGGAGGAATCCTGGGGCAAGGTGAGAAAGTGTCCAAGCAGCCACAACTTCCTGTCCCAGATGACTGCCACAGGGTGAGGGAGATCTTCATATTGAGGAGAGTTTGGAATTAAATGTCGGGTAGACGGGTCCCTTACTGTTCATGATGGCCTGCTATATACCTTCCAGAGACCAAGAAACAGTGAAGAGAAAGAGAGAATACATTGGGAAGTAATTAGAATAAAACCACTTTCTGGTGGTACTCTGAGGTCAGCATGTTCAATACACTGGTCCCTAGTGCGTGGGCGGTAGAGATGGAGTTGCTGAGCCTGGGACTGGCCCTTGGAAAGCCAATCAACTCTAGGATATGGTTCTTAACATTTCTGGAGGGTAGCTGGATACTTTAATTCCAAGTTCAAGGCCAAAATGGAGGCTATGGACCTTTAATGAATATGTCCATGAATGCAAAGATTTTAATATAATCTGCCCCTCCAAAGCCTACTCACAATGTCCCTAGAAAACAATACACCCCAAATAGAGCATGCCTAGAGGTGAGGAGGGGTGGGCATGTACCTGCGTGTTTGGTAGTGATACTATGGATTCGTTGTAGCTTCTAGAAGGAGGTGCTAGGCTCTGCTTACTTTCCATTCCAGGGGGCACACAGCACGCTTTAGCACACCTGCATGTAGGCTTCTAGAAAAGTCATTGCTTTGTACTTTGTTGCAACTGAATTTTTCAAGCAATGCTGGGAACAGTTTGTTTTCTGTAGCCCTGCCAAGGAGACCCTGGCCAGGAGGTTAAGTGAGTTTCATTGAAAAGACACACTTTTCCTCCCCAGGTTGATAAATAAGACGGCCGCAGGGAAATTGGCTTCCTGAGCCCCGGTGCTCAGCTGGAGCGGCCCATCCCTGGCCAAGGAAAATAATGGCACAAACATTGCGGGGACATATAGGAAGCATTTCTGCTGGAAACCTGCTGGGAATAGCTGCTGCCGTTTACATAGCAAACCCCTCTGGGGCCTCTGCACAGCCTGAACAAAGCCGTCCCTGCCCTCCCACTTCCTTTTGGCCTGGCTGACCCCTCCCTGCCTCTCCCCAAAGACTGACAGCGAGGCCACAGCACGTGCCCCATCCACAGGAACATAAGACAAACTCTGTAGCTGTCACCACCAAATGCCAGTCTCATTCCTGGCTCCCCAAATCAAAGGGGTCTCCTTTTAGCCAGCACTGCAGAGGGACACAGCCCCAGACCAGCCTGTGTCCTAAGCCCCGTCAGGGCACACAGAGGCTGGGCACAGGCTGCTGTCCAGTGTTCGCAACTCTCCTAGCCCTCTCTCTGGGCCACAGCAGACAGTAGGAATGTGCCTCCTGGTCCCCATGTGGAAACACCTACCTCTGCATGGCCCAGAGAGACAGCTAAGGTGCTCGCTGGGCTCAGACAGGGTCAGATACAGGGATGGGGCGGCTCCAGGCGGGCTTTGTCATTATGTTGTTCCTAGTTTCTCAAGAGGATAGCCATGTGACAGGAACTCCTGGGGGCTTGTGCTGTGCCTCTGGGCCCCTTAACTCCACCCGGTTCTTATGACCCATCACAGAGCAGTGCCTCACTCTGGTTCTGACACAACTTGACCCTCTCTGTCCCCCAGCTTCCTTGCCAGTCTCCCATTGCAGTTCTACATTCTCTCACATTCCTCTGTGAAGCCCTTGGGATATACATGGAATAACAAGGCTCAGACCCAACTGCTTCTCTTCACTAGCGAGGAAGGCATTCTTCCCATCCAGCCACTCCATCTTTGCTCTGGAATGTGAGGGGCTCCAAACTCTCCTTACCCACACACTCAATCAGTTCTGCCCCAACATGTTTCCCTATAGCCACATAGGGGACCACGCCCGGTTCCTCTGAGTGTCCCCATCCCATTAGCTCCACGGACCCCTCCCTGGACAGCTTTTTCCCACATCCACTAGACCAGGCCCAGCCTCCCCAGGCCCACCCATCCTCATGGAGCCTCTTGGACTATCTAGATATGCCCTGGAATGGGGTCCCTGGGGTCTAGGCCGTTCCTGGCAGCACAGTCTATGTAGCCTGATGCCTTGGACCTGTGTTGATCAAGAGGAAGACAGGAGAGAGCAGACTGGACAGCTTGGAGCAGAGGGCATTGCCCATCCTAGAGAATTCTGATAGGAGACGATACCCAGGAGGGCCTCCACCATCCCCTCCCATCCCCATGAGGATCACAGCCCGACCTTGTGCTCCCTTCACACGCACAGAATAGAGGAGTCTTGGCCCTCGGCATGGGCTGGATACTTGCTTTATAGAAAACCAATTACCAGAAATAACCAGGGTCCCCAGAGCCACCCTCGTCAGAGGCCTTGGCAAGGGGTGACCCAGTGGGAAACCAGAGAGGAGTGAAAAGGCAGCGGAGCCACTGGTGGCCTCCTTCCTGTCCTTGGCAGTCACAGTCAGCTGGGAGGCAACTCAGCAGCACACTGTCCTGTCTCACAGTCCTGGGCAGCCCTTCACAGAAGGGGCAAGAGGCCCTGTATGCTTCCATAGCCATGCTGGCCTGGGTGGGGGTGACGCTCTTCTCAGAGACTTGCCGCTGAGGCCCAGGTAGGTCTCAGGAGTCACCCCAGTGATGAGCAGTGGAGCCACAGGCTTTAGATGCATCCAAGGGTCACAGGATGGGCTCTGAGCCGTTCCAGTCCACGGATGCCCCCTTCCACCTACAGACGGATCAATCAGAGAAAGAGAGTTAGAGCTGCAGGGCCCCTGGCAGGAGCCCTGTCCTGTTTTGTCTTAGAGGCTTTCAGAACTTCCAGTTCCACCCTGCCCACCTCGCCCCTCCACACTCACGCACAGCCCATATACTCTTACTGGGTTCTTTTTTTTGGGGGGGGGGGGTTCCTGGGGATTGAACTCAGAGGCACTTGACCACTGAGCCACATCCGCAGCCCTTTTTTGTATTTTATTTAGAGACAGGGTCTTACTGAGTTGCTTAGTGCCTCCTTGTTGCTGAGGCTGGCTTTGAACCCGCGATCCTCCTGCCTCAGCCTCCCGAGCCACTGGGATTATAGGTGAGCCATTGGGATTACAGGGGTGTGCTACGGCCAGCACCCCCCATACCTTTACAAAGCACACATACACCCATACACCTGGGACCCTGGGGAGCAATGGAAAAGACAGAGGGCAAGTGACTCATTCATTCCTGCTACAGCTGACTTGGTGCCTGGCACTCTGGCCTCTGCTGATGTGATCCGTGCACATCTGGACCCAGCTGCTTTCCAGTGGTGCCAGATGGTGACCCAGTAGAGGCACCTGTGCAGACTTAGATATGGAGGTAGCCTGGGATGTCCAAAGTACAGGAGGGTCCCAGTGACCGAAACCCAGAGAGATGGGAGAGAGGTCTAAGAGGGGACCGGGGACCCAGCAGAGCCTTGTAAGGATTCTGGAAGTTCCTCTAAGAGCCACAGGAAGCTTGGGAAGGGTGAGGAGCACCACAGGAACATAACAGATTTTTTTTTAAATGTGCTTTATGAAGCCTAAGAAGCACCAAGTAGAATTAAACTAGAGTCCAGGGTGAGAAACAAGTTAATAGTAGTTCAGTTCCAACATAAAAATTATTATAGAGGAGAGAATAAAATTTCCTAACACTTGATTTTAATTCATGATGCTGATCTTCTGAAATAACTCAAGAAGAATCATATTTCCAGCAGATGGAGAATTTATGTCAGTCTGGCTTTGGGTATTTTCTATATATGCAGAACCTAAGACTGTATGAACCAGGCCACCGAGGTTGCATAGCTCCACAGCAGTGCTGGGCTTCCAAGTGGGAGACTGGGATTTATAAATGCTTTCTAAAGTATAGAGCTTGGGGAAGGAGCTGAAATGTTGCTTTCAAAACCTAAAATACACCCAGGACCTTGGGGAGTGATGAAGAAGACAGAGGGCAGGTGACTCATTCATTCCTGCTACAGGAGTGACTTGGTGCCTGGCACTCTGGCCTCGGCTGATGTAAGTGATCTGTGTACATCTGGACCCAGCTGCTTTCTAGTGGTGCTGAATAGTGGCCCAGTAGAGGCACCTGTGCAGAACTAGCTATCAGGATTAAAGTAAAAATCCTAACCACCATGGAGAAGGAAGAAAGGAAAGCCATCTCTCTTACTGCAATTATGAAATTGTATACCTGCCTGGAAAAGTTTAGTGTCCCTAAGAATGAAACTGCAGTCAGGGAGCAAGCAGGTTCTCTCTAAGTAACATTGTCACACTGTTGTGTTTCCCAACAGAATGCCTGAGAGCACTGGGCGGGGACAGTGCAGTTGTCTTCTTCATCCACAGTTTCCATATCCACAGATTCAACCAACCAGGATCAAAGAAAGAGGAGGAGGGGTGGGAAAGAGAAGAAGAAGGAGGAGAAGAAGAGGAGGAGGAGGAGGAGGAGGAGTGGAAGAAGAGGGAAGAAAAAGAAAAAAAAAAGAAAGAAAAAAACAGCTGGCACATGCCTGTAATCACAGTGGTTTGGGAGGCTGAGGCAGGAGGATCCCAAGTTCAAAAGCCAGCCTCAGCAACTTAGCAAGATCCTAAACAAGTTAGAATTATTCTGTCTCAAAATGAAAAATAAAAAGGGCTGAGGTTGTGGCTCAGTGGTTAAGTGCTCCTGGGTTCAATTCCTGGTACACAAATAAAAGAAGAAGGAGGAGGAGGAGGAGGAAAGGAAGGAAGGAAGGAAGGAAGGAAGGAAGGAAGGAAGGAAGAAAGGAAAGAAGGAAGGAAGGAAGGAAGGAAACTGCATTTTGCCTTGCATGTACAAACCTTTCTTTATCTTTTAATTAATACATAAACAGTACAATACGACAACTATATAAATGGCATTAACATTGTATTAGTATTATAAGTCACCTAAAGATGATTTAAAGGATACAGGAGGATGTGTATACAAATACTTTATCACTTTTTAGAAAGGACTCCAGCATCCTTTGATTTTGGTATCCTCAAGGGGTCCTGGAACTGAACCTCTGTAGACACCAAAGAATGACTATTAGTAATGATTCATCATAGACTCAACATCCTCCATCTTTATCACATAACCTAGTCTTCCATTGAATTCCCTTCTCTTTTCTTTCTCAGGCAGAATTAAGAGACTGTGTGGTCTCCAGGTGCTTTAGACTAGTTCTTGAGCTTCTGCACGTGTCAGACAGATCCAGAGGAATCTATCAGGTACTTTGGGGCTGAGCTATGCATCAGAGCATTCATCTTCACTGCCTGAAGAAGAGACCCTGGGACTGTATTTGGAGACAACTTGACATGGCTTGGAAAAGTGAGACTGCTTCTGGGTGGTGAGTGCCTGCTGCTGGTGCTACCTGGGGTTGGAGTCTGATGATGTTCCAGGGGAGTTAATATGAGTCCACCTAGCAGGGACAATGGCCACTGCTCTGACTTGCACAACTGAGCAGGTACCAGAGGTAAGACAGCCGGGGAAGGCTTCATGCTGATCCTCAGGTTCCTGAGGACTGGGCTGATCTCTTACATCTGTTTTAATGGTACTTCAGCCATCTACAGCAACATAATGCAGGGTTTAATGGATTCCACTCTGCTATTTGAGACGTTCAGTTGTTCAACTGTTCCTGTTGATTGTCTTTGCAGTTTTGAAGTATATCATTAGAAAGCTTTTATTGTTCAATTAAGATTTGTAAGTAAGCATAGAAGACTCAGGCTCTAGGAACACTCCTGAATCTAGATCCCCAGAGGGTGGCAGAAGGGAGGCAGAAAGGAGAATGACATTCTTGCCTTCAGCCTTGTCCTCAAGGTCCTCACTGATATCGCCCTCCATCCCTACCCACTCTGCAGGCAAACCCAAGTTCCTCCCAAGAGTCCTTAAACCTCTTGGATCTTGGCAAAATGTGCAGTTATAAGTATGACTGCAGGGTGAGTATTCTTATCTACCCCTAGAAAACATTCATGTCACATCAGTCACTAAGCCTGACTGTCAGATTGTTGGATTTGTATTTGGTTTTGAGACTATTTACAGAGGTAACTAATCTTCCCAGCCTAGCCAACAGGTGTAAAGGCAGGAAATAGCACTAGAGAGAAGCAGTTTGCAATGATAGCGGAAAATCAAAGACGTCTTTAAAAATTGAAAGGGCTGAGATACGGCAGATGTTGTTCTGAATGTCTATGAATCAATGACAAGGACAAGGAAGAAAAGCTCTTCCTATGCAACCAACAGCAATCAGGGATGATGGAGAAGGGGGAGGAAAGGAGTCTGCGCGCACAGCAGAAGAGGCAGAATCAGAGCCAGGGCTCGCTCACCAGCGCTAATTCTGGAGGTGGCTGACAGCATGACAGCTTAGAGCAGGGTTTCTCAACCTCGGCACTTTGAGCATCTGAGCTGGACAATTCTTTATTGTGGGGATCAGTCCATGCATTGTCCCTGGATGTGACAACTACAAAAACACCCCCAAACTTTGCCAAATCACTCTGTTGAGGACCACCTGCTTCAAGGTTGAGTTTGGTGGAAATGTCACGGTCCCTGGAGCTTAGGTGGACCCAGCATCACAGAGAGGGTCATGTCGTGGCTACAAATGAGGCCCTTTCCTTCCCAGGGTTAATCCTCCAAACAGAGGGTTCGTTACCTGCCCTCACAGATTCTCAGTATTGATAAAACTGATGGATTTCACTGGGGGAAAGATACCTAATAAGATCCACAAGGAGAGAGCAGGCCTGCTTTCAAAGCTCCTGACTGATGGAGATACAAGGCCTGTGTGCAAGTTTATATTCCTGTGCTTTAGCCATTTGAAACCAAAGAAGGTTCTAGAATGAGCTACTTGGGATATTGCTCACCTGTGAACCTTGGCCTGTGCTCCACCCTCTGCCTGGAACGGCCATCCTCTTCCCCAACCTGCTCCCTTGCAGGATCAAATTGAGAATTCCTCTGGCTGCCAGGTTACCTGGGGACCCCTTTTCCCCAGGATCAGACCCAGGACAGAGCTGGTCTCACCCATCCCAGGGCTACTATGGCACAAGGATGCCCCATCCATACCCGCTGCTCCTCTTGGACACCTGCTCTGCAGCCCACTGCCCCCCACGGCACCCACCAGGGAACCTGGGTCTTCATTCACTTCACTCTCCTTCCCTTTGATCTAAGTGCTCACAAAACCCTACCCACGGCCCGCTGCCAACTCCCTTGTCCCCTGCTCTCGCCTCTTCCCAGGTCCTTGCCCTACTTACCACTACCTGATCTTTCTGCCTCCCTGACATGTGTAGAGCCCCTTGTGGTCTCCAAAGGAGAGGGAGTGCTTCTAGAGTTCTTCCCTCAACCTCATAACAGCTCCGGGAAGGGATTCTGACATGATTGACAGGTGGGAAAACTGAGGCCAGGAAACAGGGCAGGGTGGATATGTGCAGGCAGCAGGGTATCAGATGGTACTTGGTGTGACAATGGAGCAGTGGGAACCCCAGGGAGTGTCCCTCCTATGGGTTAGAGGTGCTGTGAACAGGGACTCAGGCAAGGGTGTCAGCATGAAGATAGAAGCCAGGGCTCCTCAGTGGATGGAGGGGCCACTGACGGAGGTGGGTGCTCTGCCCCAGGCCCTCAAGGGCCTGGATTCCAGCTGTAATTCCATTTTTAATTTCATGTCTGAGCCTCCAGAGAGACACATGTGGGCTCCAGCCCCAGCCCAGTGTGAGTTCTTTCCTTTTCTCTCGGGACAGCTGACAATTATTTCATTTTCTCTCACTCCAGAGAGGATGGAAGCATGAGAGAGGTCACCGTGTTGTCTTGTTTGGAAATGACCCTAAATGAGTCAGGTTTGCTGTCATGGTTGGAGAACAGCAGGTGGAGGGGACAGCAATGTCCCACATTCCAGACACAGCAAAGATAACGAGAATTTCTGAGGTGGAGACATGCATCATGCCAAAGAGCAGCGACAGCATGGGAACCCAGGGATGGTTCTAATTAGGACGCTCTTCTCCGAAGGCAAACACAGCAGTCTGGGCTTGTGCAATGTCTCCATGGCAACAGAGCCAGGTGGTGGGAGGACACACTGCCCGCTCAGTGACCTTCCACTGGGCTGGGACACTGAGTTGTTCATGATTGAAGTGTGGCTGGGACACAGACCTCCATTCTGGAGACCCCACTTCTCTGTCTATATCAGAGGGTATCCAAGGACATTTCCGTAGATTCCAGGAAGTTGCTAGATGGCCAGCTGGGTGATGTATTCTTTTCGGGTCATTTGCGAGTCGGGGCTTTTTGCAGGGCAGCAGAGCTGGGTTTAAGAGTGGGTGGTGCATCTTCCTCTGGATTAGAGCAGAACTGATGTTGAACTTGACTTCCATTTAACTATGAATCCTCCAAGAGCAGGAATCAATTCTTATCCAGCCGTTTCTTCCAACCTAGAGGTTCCCAGGGCTGAAGTAACAGGAGGAGGAACCTATCGGCCCACCAGGTGGTCTGTCTGTCTACCCAACCCATCAGCAGGACAGACAGGACAGCCATGAGCTTTCAGATGCTGGCCTTAGAGATACTGAGCAAAAGCATGGCACCACGTATACCCACTTTGTGGGGTGGGTTTGCCTACAGGCAGCAGGAGTCCCTCCAGCCAGCCCCAAAGACAAGACCCATTCCAGCAGGTCCTCACAGTGACATAGGAAGCACTTTCCCCAATTTCTCCTTTGAGCAATTTGAGAATCTGGGATGAAAACAAAACTCAAAGGCTTTGTAATATACCCCTTCGGAATAAGATTCCAGAAGACCCAGCCTGCTGTCTTCCATCATAGCAGCAAGTTATCTGATGGGTAGAGGGGCAGGGGACCTAGGAACCTACTCTTCACTCACCACTCAGTGTTTCTAGGAATTACTAGGAAATTTTCTAGGAATTACTAGGAAAAAAAAGGAAAGATCTCATCATGGCCCAGTGGATCCATCATGGCGGGTCACAATGGGGACGTAAAACAGGAAGAAAACTGGTATTGGGAAGAAGGTTCCCCTGGCCTAGTATGTCATGCAAGCCAGACACTGGAGGGCCCAGAGATCTGTGTTTTTACTCATTCTCCAGAGAATTCTGCTGACTCTGAAGCTTGAAGACCTTGCTCAGGAGCAAGACTTTCCAATTGGAGAGTCATCAATGGATATTAGGTTCCACCCTGGAGCTGGGTGGGGTCTGAAACAACTAGAGTCTCCAGACCTGGTGTCCCTGACTCTGTGCTACATAAATAGGGTTATTTTGCCTCTGTGATGCGAATTGGTAAACATTTCTGGAAGAGATGCCAAGCTCTACCTTGTCCAAGCCCATGACTGTGAGCAGAGGTGAGGGCAGAGCCAAGCTGCAGCCTGAACCATCCATTCCCAGGCCCAGGCTCACTCCCTGATGCTAGCAGCCTCTCCAACTTCCCCATCTGTCAACCAGGACAGGGCAATGGTGAGTTTGGTGTGGGAAGGGAAGAAGTCCTAGGAGAGAGGCAGGTGACAGAAAAGGCCCATGCCCATCCTCTGAGCTTGGCCTGAGCTCCACATCATGCCACCTTTCATCTGGGACAGGCACCACCCCGAGTCATTCTCAAATGAATACCAATTAGGGCTGAGCCCAAGAAATCCAATCAGGGCCCATACTGGGGGTACTCAGGTGGTCATGTAGTGGAACGGCCTTTGGCAAAAGAAGAGTTACTTCCCAGAAAGGCAATGGAGGGGCTGGTGTGCCATGGGAGGGGTAGAGAGACACAGTCAGATAGAGGCTCCATCAATGGCCCCAAGAGTCCGGAGGTGGCAGAGGCTATGACCAGGATGCAGTTTGAACCCTGAGTCCCCCCTGCAGGAAGAGTGTTCTGTGGCCTCCTGTGCTGTTCTGTACAAGGTGCCCAGGCCAGGGTCATCTCCTTTCCCCTTCTCTCATCACCCTGAATGAGTGGCTTTGTACATGAAAGGACAGTGACCTGCGTGTGCCCTTAATCCTCTGATGAAAGAAGCTCCGGCACATGACCCTGTAAGAATGCTGTGTCCCTGGCCCAGTGGGGGGGGGGCACCAGCGGACAGATGGACGGGGCATCCCTCCCACTTCCCCTTCCTGACTTCCCCTGAGCACGTGGCATTCTCTCTCTTTCTCACAGGTGGGCGGAGACCCTGGGCTGCAGGTGTGCCATCGGGACCTCAGGCAGTCAGAAGCTCAGGGCCTGGGTGGTGTTCTCACCCCCCACCCCCAATGTCACAGGAAAACGGAGTTTCCACGTGAGGCCACACTGAATCATGAGTGGCTAAGACAATCCTACTGAGAGTGAACGTTAGAGGGCATTAGTGATGTGACAGAGGACAAAGCAAGGTACAGAGAGGTGAAGTCAACAGCGCCCCTCCGGCAAGCTGCAGAGCCAGGGGTCCGACCCAGGCAGCCTGGCTCCAGACCTCATCACCACTGCAATGTCTGCTGCTTCCCTAGAAGAAGGACCTAGCTAGCGTCCACACCTCCTCCCTCCCAGCTGCTCTCCCCTCTGCACACTGAGGCCTCCTGTCATTACCCCCAGGCTTTGACAAGGGCCTGCCACCCACAGAGAGCTGGGGGTTCCCCACAGCTACAACCCATGGGCCCCTCCAGAGCACTGCCCCAGCCCTGGGGCCCCTCAGAGAACTCATGAGGGAAGGGAACATGGCCTCCACCGGGCCCCATGAACTAGGCCTTCCCCTCCCCTCCCCTTAAACGCAGGAGGGCTGGGTGGAGGAGTCCCTAGCTTAGTTGCCTCTGAGCTAGGAGCACCTCTGCTCAGTGTTCATGGTGGCCAAGGCTGTCTCTCCACCCCCTCCTGGAGCAGAGGGTGCTCCTGCTCCAAGCCACCTCCTGCCACACCCTGCCTGGACCAGCCCCTGCCATCCCCCCTTCCACTTTGGATTCAGCCTCCAGCTCCAGCCCAGTGAACAGCTCTCCCTCCTCCTTCAGGCCTGACAGCACTCGTCAGGCCAGGTGGCTGCTCAAGTGCAAGTCACTTATGCCTCCACTTGGGCCATGGTGACAAGGGAAGACATCTGGTTACGCCCGAGCCCCAGAGCACTGGGTCTCTCCAGCCTGCAGTGGTCTCACCTACCCCAGTCCTCTGGCCTGGAACCATCTGGAAATCCTTCCTCCTTTCCTGCAGGCCCGATGCACCCAACCACCACACCTCCCGGTCATTCAGGAAGAGGCTCAAAAGGCAGAGCCATGCCCGACTCACTTGGTTCTGATGCAGAGCTCCAGGGGAGGGACAAAGTCATTGTGGCTGTCCTCGGGGCTGGTCTGGGTGGTATCTGGGGAGGAGGGAGAAAGAGAGGCATAGTCATGTCACTCCAGGGCTCTGCATTTAACCTGTGGTCAGCGTTGACAACTTTCTTGGGACCTGACCCTCTGAGTACCTATGCCTTCATCTCCATTCCAACTGGATCCACCTTCATGGCTGGCCCTAAATTCTTACCTGGACAACTCACAGGCCTCTCATTGTCCAGTCTCTATCCCAGTTTTGTGCCTTACTTCAGCTACCAAAATCTTCTTAATAAAAACACATCTGATCCAATCATGCCCTGCTCTAAAACCTCCTATGGGGGCTGGAATTGTGGCTCAGCGGTAGAGCGCTCGCCTAGGACGGGCGGGACCCAGGTTCGATTCTCAGCACCACATAAAAATAAAGGCATTGTGTTGTAGCCATCTACAAAAAAAGATTCATATTCTTTCTCTCCCTTAAAAACAAAACAAAACAAAAAACAAACAAACAAACAAAACCTCCTATGGCTCCCTCTTGCCTGAAGAATAAATCCAGACTTGTCAGCAAAGTGTTTGGGGCTCTTCCCATGTGGCCTCCACTTCACCTTACATGCTTGATGCTATCAAGGGTCAAGGTCATCCCTGGATCCCTCCAGCTGGAGGGGCCCTGCTAAGATCTGTTCTCTGATCACCCAGTCCTGGCACCCAAGTCTACACTGTCCTCGAGCATCCTGAGGGGGGATGTGAAGTCTGGTGTCTGTGAGGGGTCTTGAAGCTCCTTTAGGGTACAGGTTGGGGGGTGTCGCACCGATGGTCAGCCGGATCTGCTCCTGCTGGTTGGCCAGGCCGTCATAATAGTACAGGTCAAAGTGCCGCTCGGCCTTCCAGTCAGACAGGAGCTCCATCTGCAGGCTGAAGAGGACGCTGAAGTGGCTCTCGCTGCACACTACCCAGATGGGGAACCGTGGGGTCTTCAGGAAGCAGCCAACCTGGAGAAGGGAGAGGCCTGATGGAACCTGCCATCCCCAGAGAGAGGAGCTGGGGCTTCTTAATCCAAACCAGGGCAGGATGGACCTCAGAGAGGCCCAATCCTGTATGTGTGCTCTGCTGGGAGCCATTCCTGCTAGTAGCACCACTGGTCAGTTGCCCAGAGCTGCCCCACCCCCCAGCATGGCGGCTCACAGACCTGAAACAGGGGCATCATCCCTTCCTCCCCTCCATGTCCAGTAGTTCAGGGTGATGCCCATGCTGCATCTTTTAGTTCCCTCGCTCCCACCTCTCCTCTCCAGGTCCACTCCCCTGCCTCACTGGACCAGGGCAATGACTTCCTAACCAATTCTTGCCAGGCTTCTCTTGCTAACCAAGCCCCCATGCCTTCACATTCTCTATCCATCATCTACAGCTCTCCTCTCCTTGGAGAGCCTGTATCACCCAAACTACCCAATCAGGGGGCAGGGATCACTTCCTCCTTGCAGATCCCAGGCGCCCATCACCTGGCAACCAGATTCCTGGGCCACAGCACCACAGTGCATCCCCTGCCTCGTGATGCGTCACCCACCCACCAGCCTGCCAGATGATACCCTAGCAGCAAGGGCCCAGGTGTGAGTGGTTTGATGAACGAGGGTTCTACTGAGCAAGGTGGGACTTGAACTCGAACTGTGCCTCAAAGACAGGAAGAACTGGGAGCCGCAGGAGTCGGGAGGGAAGGGGCTGGGTGATCAGTCTGTGGGCGATGCCAAGAACGAACGGCCAGAGAAACCGGAGGTACAGGGGGGACACTTCCTTGCTTCAGTACAGGAGCAAGAAAGATGAGGTTGGGTTAGTTCCAGAATAAGGAGTGGAAACTTCCTTCAGGTGAGGGATTCTCTAAAAAGTTCCAAGCCAGGGAATCTCATGGCAGAGAAAACAGAGCAGGCAGCAGGTCCTGCAACGCAATGCCACCATTTTCCCTGCAAAGGGGAGAGGCCCCCAAGGGCCTGGTCAGCTTTGCCCCTCAGGCTCTCTCCCTGTTCCCTGTGAGTCCCCTGGGCAGCGCCTCTCCCCACCAGGGGCCCGGGTTCATTCCTCCATGTGTTCGCCACGGTCCAGGCTGGTTCAGGCCTAATCCCCACGGGCCCCAGGGAGATGTTTGCATGCTCAGGTATTTACAGCCGCTGCCTGTGGATTAAGGAAAGAATGGGAATTATTTTTCCAGTGAAGAGAAAGGCATAATTTCTCCAGGGCCTGACACAGAAGAGTGGCTGGGCAGCCCCTACTCAGAGGTGACTCTGGGCTAGAGGTGGCAGGGGCAGAGGAGCCATGCTCAGAATGTCCCAGTGAGACTTGTCCATTAAAGTGGCTTCCTCCAGAGGGCAGGAGGGCCATCTTTCACAATGTGCTCCTCACTTTCTTATTGTCCAAGTATCCCTTCCCACCTCACCAACTGGGCCCTCAAGTGACTTCAGGGCTTGCTCCTTGTGGGGTGTGAGGGAATTAGATGTCTGAAAACACAAATCCCTCTACCAACTCGGTTTCTGTCCTGTTTTCCAAAGTTGGCACTGCCCGCAAACAGGGAGCCTGGAAGACAGGATCCAGCGCTCCCTCCTGGCAGGAAAAGAGCCCCGAGCCAAGCAGGGAGCAGGCCCTTGCACAATCAGCCCCGCTGAATTTTCCAACTGAGGACACCAGGGCAGCTGGCCACGTATAAATAATTGTCAAAAGGTTAAGGGTAAGAGTTTGTCAATGAGTTTTCTCATTCAGGAGGTCCCTTCCAAGTGGGTGACATTTTCCAGAGATGAAATCTGCTTCCTTCTCATTCTTAGGGAACCAAAGGCTGGGGCAAGGGGCCACACTCCCCACGGCACAGTCCAGTCTTCCCCCTGGAGGGGCCTGCGCACAGTCAGAGATTGCTTTCAAATGGTAAGTCTTAATCTGCAGAAGCTGTGAGTGACCAACAGCCAGGTGGGCTGCAGGGATAACCATTGTGTCCATAAGGGCGACACTTGCTCATTGTGATCTACACTTTCATCCCCAGCACTGTGCTATGCAGTGGGGACACAGCATGGAAGGAAACAAGAACAATCCTCACCTTGTGGAACTGACCAGATTAAGGGGGATAACAGAGAGGAATCAAATAATCTGACGCACAATGAGCTTGTGCTATGACTCCACCAGATTGGCCACTTTTATTTTCTTTCTTTCTTTTTTTTTTGGTACCAGGGATTGAACCTAGGGGCATTTAACCACTTAGCCACATCCCCAACCCTTTTTAAAAATATTTTATGTAGAGACAGGGTCTCACTGAGTTGCTTAGGGCCTTGTTAAGTTGCCGAGGCTGGCTTTGAACTCGTGATCCTCCTGCCTCAGCCTCCTGAGCCGCTGGGATTTCAGGTGTGTGCCACCATGCTCGGCATTGCCACAGTTTTTTGTGTCACTAAGAAAGACAGAAAGCTGACCACACTTGGCACGCTGTCAATTGCAATAATACATTATCATTTCAGAAATGCTTAACATGGGGAATGTTTACCTCCTAAAAGCAATGAGATATGGAGAATGACAGTGGCAAGAGGTGCACGGAGTGGGGGGCACGAGAAGACACCCTGATTCAGGCAGAGTGAGGCTGAAGGCAGGAAAGCCCTCTCTTTTAGGAAGTAACTTTTAATCCAAAAACTTGAAGAGCAGAAAAAGCAAGGCAGGTGCAAGGTAGAGTAGGTGCAAAGGCCCAGAGATGGGAAGGAAGGAACCCAGGAAGCAGGGGTGGTGGTGGTGGGCAGTGTGGCCTAAGCCCGTGCCCATGGGACAGAGTTCGATGGGGTGAGGTGAGAGGAAGGCAGGGATAGGCTGTGAGGGTCATGGGAATGTTGGGATTTTAGTCCCTGTATCAGTTAGCTTGGGCTAACAAATACCATAGACGGGGCGGCTTCAGCAATGGACATTTATTCTCTCCAAGTTCAGGAGGCTGAAGTCTGATGGAGGAGGTATTTGAGTTAGATCTGGAGGCCTCTTGCCTTGGCTCATGGATGGCTGTCTTCTCCCTGTGTCTCTGCAAGGCCTTCCCTCAGTGTCCTAGTCCCTTCTGCCTCCGATGACACCCGTCGTTTGGATTAGGGCCATCCTAGGAACCGCATTCTAACTTAATCACTGCCTTGCAACCCGGTCTCCACCGACAGTTACATTCCAAGGTCCTGGGGGTGAGGATTTCACTAGGAAGTTTTAGGGGGACACAGTGAGCTCATAACATTCTCAGAGGATTGGGAAACCGAGGTAGAGTGTTGAGAAAGGAACGAGACGATTGGATCTATGTTTTTAAAGGACACACTGGCTTCCGTAAAAGGACAGGATTGGGAAGAGTGGGGACAGGAGCTGAAGTCAGCCGGACTGTCACGAGTATCAGACCAGCAGCGCTGGTGGCTGGACCAGGGCGCACACAGACAGACTTGAGCAACGTCTGCCAGGCACCCTCTCACGCGGGGAGATGAAACTCCCAGTCTCAGCCAAGGGAAGGACAACAAAGGGTCTATGTGGATCCTAGGAATCCAAAAAGGGAAGGGAGCTGGAGGGCCTGGATGTCTTCCGCCATTTTGTAGGGGAAGGATGATCTTGGCTGAGAGTCCTATCAATTACCCTCCATTGACCCAAAGAAAGCAGTTTATTTTTTAACCAACACCCTAGCAACAAGAATGAAATGAGGACTTGTGGTGAGAGTCCACAAGTCTGGCCAAGGTCACTTTTCTTAGAGTTTCAGGCTGAAGATTTTGGGAGTCCACTTGGGGTCTGATGCTCCTGCACCCTGGCACTCCTCACTGGCCGCGTGGCCACATTCCTGGCCTCCCTCCCGACACCAGCACAATCAGGAGGAGCCACCTTGCTCTCCCCCCAGCCTTTGGTTGATCCCACAATTCTGCATTCTGTGAGCTGGGGAATATCACCCAGAAAGGGGAGAGTGTGGCACCACGTGGTTCATTAGTAAGGGACAGCACACCTGAACCTGTGGCTATGCAGGGGGGTGGGATGAAAATCTGGTCCCCTCCCACCTGGTAAATCCATCCTCCCAGCATTCTCCAGATGCTCCCATCAGGAGGGTCTCTGTGTCCTGGTTCTGGGACACATGATGCATGAGACCTAGCTCAGCCCTCCAAGAACCTGCAGGCAGAGGGAGAGCTCCTGCCACCCTCAGGACAATGCTCCCATATAATCCACCACAGAACAGTCACGAAAAGCAGGGCTCAAAGAAGGTTATATGGCAGCTGGGACAAGCAGGTAGGGTCAGTGAACCCCTGGCCAGCCCTCCTCAGCCCCTGTCTACATTCCCCGGAGGGTACAGTCATCACACACTGTCCAACTGCACCTGAGACCCTGGCTTCAGTGAGATAGGAGGCAGGGAGACCCAGTGAGGCCTCTTAGAGGTTGAATAGTGTTCCCCAGAAGATACATGAGACCTCTGAATGGGATTTTATTTGCATATAGCATCACTGCCAATGGGATTAGTTAAGATGAGGTTCTCCTGTAGGAGGGTAGGCCCTTAATCCAACTGAGGTCCTTAGGAGAATCTTAGACACACAGGGAGAAAGCCACTGTGGAACAGCAGAGTCAGGGACTGAGGTGATTCATCTGTAAGCCAAGAAACACCAAGGATTGCCAAAAAAACACCCCAAACTTGAAGAGACAAGGTTCAAGTCTCCCTTTGGGTTTCAGAGGGAGCCCTGCTCTGCAGACACCTTGATCTCAGGCCTACGGCATCCAGAACTGTAAGAGAATGAATTTCTGTTGCTTCGGCCACCCAGTTTGTGGCATCTTGTTGTGACAACCCTAAGAAAGTAATACAAGGCCTCAGACCTCAAGTTCCTATCCCTGGAAAAGACCCCCATTCCTATGGTGCATGTGCACACGCATAAACACACACACACACACGCACACACACACACACACACACACACGGCCCAGAGGCAGCCAAGGCCAACCCACAATCACACTATAAATTCCTAGAGGTACTTTCCAGACAGTCTTCCTCAGAACTCAGCATCAACTGGCTTTGGTTCTGAATTGCGTGCTTTACTGGACAGCAGGGAAACTGCACGTCTTCCCAGATCCTTGGTGACTCAGGCTGGACCTGAATTCCAGCCACTCTGGGAAGGGCAGTCCTGCTTTCCTTCCCTGCCATTGAGCTCTTTTCTTGTCAGTTCTAGGGAGCGAGGCTCCCCAGGGTCCAGAGAACATGAGTGTGTGGGTACCTGGCACACGTTGTAGTGCTCAAAGAGGGACAAGAAGCCAATATCGCTACGTGCTGTAATGCCCCGGAGGAGGGTGATGTTCCCGTTCCCAGAATCCAGCTCCACCACGTCGTTGAAAACATTGGACACGGCTCTCCCAGTCAGGAGCAGATTGACAAGTTCCTGTTGATGAGAAGGGGAAGCCACATCAAGTCTCTGAATCAGCTGTGGAGGGGAGACTAGGAAAAAAAAAGGGGGGGTGGGGTGGAGAAGGAAAGCAAGCAAGGAGAGAGAGATGGAAATCAGAGGCAGGCCCTGCAGGGAAAGTTGCCATCTTTGCTCATCTAAGTGACTCAGGCACTCATCAACTTTTATTCCCTAAGCATTCATTGAGCACCACTGTACACAGGACCCTGTTCTAGTACCCACACCATTGGAGAGAACTTCAGGAGGGTAAGACATGACTCCATTCTCAGTCCAGACTGGGGTGGGGGTTAGGTGTGTCCCCATGGGATTAAAGCATGACACAGAATGTGACTGGGGCTATTAAAAAAATGTGCATGTAGAGCACTCCAGGGCCCAGATGGACAGGACACAAGGCCACATGACCGAGTAAAAGTGGCTTTGTAGACTGACTTCTGGGATGTTAATTTTTAAATAGACTTTTAGATTTTGAAATAACTTTAGACTCAATAGAAGTCATAAAAAGAGTTCATAGAGTTCCTCGTGCCCTTCACCCAGCTTCCCCCAACAACAGCATCTTCCAGAAGCAGAGCCATACGTAAAACCAGGAAACTGCCAGGCACGGTAGGGTAAGTCTTTAATCCCAGCAGCTCGGGAGGCTGAGGCAGAAGGATCGTGAGTTCAAAGCCAGCCTCAGCAAAAGCGAGGCGCTAAGCAACTCAGTGAGACCCTATCTCTAAATTTAAAAATATACAAAAATAAATAAATAAAACAGTGCTGCAGGGCCACCTGCACTCCAGGCTTATTTGAATCTACCAGGGACAGCAAGGTCTCAGTGGAGGTGAGAGGGCAGGGCAAGATGTCTCAGGGGCAGGAAGAGCAGAAGCAGGGGGCAGCGGGAAGCCCATCTTCACCTTGCCTTGGGTATTATGTACTCAGTGGCCCCATCACTAATGCCTCAATCCAGCACGGCAACAAGCACATGACCTTAGGACCTGCAGCAGGAGCGCTGTTTCTCTTGCAATCTCCTTCAGCCTGTGTCCCCTGCACCAGGGTGGATCACTGTGGCTGGAAGGGACCTTCTTTATGCAATGGCCTCCTTGTCCAACCTCCTCTTAGAAATGGAGAAACCGAGGCTCACAGATGCAGAAGGACTTGCCCTGGTCACACACAGTGGGCGCCAGGACTGAACCTCCACCCACATCTGCTGGCTCTGAACATCTGTCTGGTTTCCCTTCAGTTGTCCCCACCCCTCGTTACACTCATGAAGGCCCCTGCCTGGACATGCATTCAAGATGCAGGGTGGTGGCCTCCAAGGGCCCACTGCCCCCTGGGGAAGGAGTCCAGCAAGCTGCCCCAGCACTTGGGCAGGCAGGTCTCAGTCTCACCCACCTCCACCAGGGCTGGCACCGCCCATGAATCAAGCGGGCAGGCAGCCCTCTCGCTGTTCGTGGGAATGGCCACGGCCGCCCTTTCCTAAATGGCAGAGTTTATGAAAGTGTTTTCCCCTGAATTGTGAAAACAACGTCCGGGGTTAATAAATCCCTCTGTTAACACCAACACCCCTGCCCCAGTGACAGTAAAAGAGGTCTTGGTTGATGGCCACTGAGGAGTCCTCATTGGACAGAGATACGAAGGGGCCTCATTGTGACCTAGCAGAGGAAATGAGAAAAGAATTTGGAGGAAATATCTGTTCTAAGATACTGCACCTCAGGGGCAGAAGGGTACAGCCTTGATCAGGCAGGTTCAAGTTTTTTCCATCTGGTTTTCAACAGGAAAAAAGGGCCCTGCTCCTTAATCAAGGGTGTGTCCAGAACCTTCCACCTAGCAGAAAGCCTTCTTGAGATGGGAAGAAAGGAGCACTGGGCATCTCCCACTCCCCATCTACTTCCTGACTATTCAAAATGTGGTCTGTGAACCAGCAGCATTGCCTTTCCATGGGCACTGGGGCAGCCTATTAGAAATCCAGAGCCTCAGGCCCAAGCCCAGATGCTCTGAATCCAAGCCTGCTCTACAATAGGACCCTCGAGGGTTCATGTGCACGTCAAAGCTTAAGCAGCTTGGGGTGGGGAAGAAGATGTCCCAGCTCATATGGTGAGTGTAACAGAAAACAGTCCTTGAACCCAGCCCCAGACTCTGGTCTGGCATCCTCTGCCAACACGTGATGGCCACCCACCTGTGGCCAACATCACTCTCTGCCCTCTGCAAAGAGAAGTTCCCATGGAGTAGAAAAGCACTCAGAGGGAGAGTGGGGCTACCCCAAGCAGCCTGTCCCCTGAGACCTTCTCCCAGAAAGGAGGACAACAGACAACCCCATCCCTCTGTGGCTGACTGACAAACCATAGCCCCAAGCTTGCACCTGCATAGTGACCAGGCACAGTTCCAGAGCTGGGCACGAGTGAGTCAGGACCCCAGGACAACTGGGTCTTCGGCTGGATTGGAAGATCCAGCTGAATCTGTGTGAACTGAGAGTCAGAGGTCGCTGTGGTCCATGTGGCCACTGTGGGAGGCCTTGCCGTGCAGAAAAAGGCACAGATAGAAATTAGGGGTGGGATTTAGCTGCCAGTCTTCCTGCTCACATTGACTGTATCTGGAGCTGTTTCCTTTCCTGGTATCATGTGAGTGACTGAGAGGATCCAGGACAAGCAACTGTGCTCAGGGTCTCTCCTGCACCCCCTCAAGACCTCCTGGGGGTCCCTTTGTAGAAATACAGCTGGATGGGTAGTCATGAAGACAACACCCTGTACAAACATGAAGGGTGTCATTGCTGCTGTCTCCCCATCTGGAGCCAGGGGCACTGCTCCCTGTGGCCTGGGCTCTGGGCAGGGCAGCACTTGGATCTCCATCCCACCTCTTCTGCGTGGGTCCAAGCACACAGATTACAGCACAGCAAGTACTCCCCAAAGAGAAGCGAAGCTGAGCTCTCTTTCCAAGTCTCCATGACCAGGAAGCCCAGCAGAGGTCGGCACACCAAAGCACTGGGAGGGTATCAGTAGGGATAAAGGAGAGAGGGATAGAGGAAGAAGAACCACCTCCAGGCTGCCCCTGGGCCCCACAGTTCCCCTGACCTGTGTGCAGTATCCGTGTGCTCCAATCAGGTGGGTGGTGGGAACATCAAAGTCCTGGCGAACCCTGGAAAACACAGAAAGGAGCCTCTGTTTGACCCAAGCCTCCAGGGCAAACCTCACTGGGTGATCGGGTGTTCCCCGTAGGCCCCAGGCCGAGGGTTCCAGATTGGGTGGGAACCTGCGTATCTTGTGTTCAGCGTTGTCTACAGAGGTGGCCCCTGCTCCAAAGAAATTTGGGCTCAAACCCAGGCCTGCTTGAGCCACAATCACCCCGTTCCCTGGGTAACGACTTCCATTCTGGCCTCCCCAGGCTTCTGGCTACACCAGAGGATGGCGAGAGAAGACTGATACAGCAGAAAGTCCCTTGTGCTGGGAATCCAACGTCCTGCCTTCACATCCCAACTACTGCTATTAACAGTAGGGGTGGGGGCAACCTCTCCCATCTCTGGGCCCCAGTCGCCCATCTGTGAAGAGGAAGGAACAGACTCGAATGCTCTGTGATGATTTGGTTATGGCTTGAGTGTGTCCCCCGTGGGTTTCTGTGTTGACCTTTAATTTCCCTTTTACATTAAGAGGGTAGAGACTTAATTCAGCTATGATTTAGAGGCTGGGCTTCTGGGAGGAGATGAGGATTAGGTAAGGTCATGGGGTGGAGCCACCACAATTGAATCTTGGAGATTATATGAGGAGGGAGACCTGAAGAGACAGGCACACGTTCCCTGTCTCTTGCCACGTGATGCCCTGCACCTCCTCAAGACTCTGCCAGCAAGGAGGCTGACATCAGATGTGGCCCTCAACCTTGGACCTTGAGAACCATCAATCAAAATAAACCTCTTCTCATTAAAACTTCCACAGTCTGCGGGATGGCGTTCCTGGCGATAGAAAATAGACCCATACAGCCTTCTCAGATTCCAAAACAACGGTGCTACAGCTCCGGTACCGAGTACCACGCAGGCATCATTCCACAAGACCCAGGGAGATAATGGGGGCTTCAAAAAGAGGCTGGCTGCCAGGTGCGGTGGCACACGCCTGTAACCCCAGCAGCTCGGGATGCTGAGGCAGGAAGATTGCAAGTTTGAGGCTAGCCTCAGCAACTTAGTGAGTCCCTAAGCTACTCAATGAGACCCTGTCTCAAAATAAAATATAAAAAAGGGCTGGGGATGTGGCTCAGAGGTTAAGGGCCCCGGTACCACAGAAAAGGAAGAAAGAAAAAATAAAAAGGTTTGCCCAGAGCTGCTGGGCCCAGGGCCTCCAGGCAGTCTCTTTTCAAAGCCTAGAGCCCCTCCATGCTGCCCCTGTGGCTCCCTCCTCAAAAGGGGGTTCTCCAAAAGGCATAGACTGAAAAGCCCCTTTGGCAGAGTAAGTTCCTCAAACCACAAGAAATGAATTTTAGGGCTGAGCAGCAGTGGGGACAGAACAATTCAGGATGTGTCCTATCTTTGGGACCCTGTCCCCTATGAGGAGTGAGTGATGAACACTAGGAGGCAAAAAGCCCTCCCTGAACTTCAGAGTCCTCCTCAGCTTGTCACCATGCTAGGAAGCCCATTGTGGCACGTGATTCCTAAAAGGAGCAGCAAAGACCTCAAACTAAATAGCTCCGGGAGACAAAGCATTCTTGTGATCGGAGCCATGTAACCAGCAGAGAGTAAAGGAGCTACCGTCTCCCGACTGCACCCAGCAGATGCCTCTTCAACCCTCTAGGACCCCTGGGAATTGGGAATTACTCTTTTGAGCAGCACAGAGAGGTGGGTTCTGGGGGCCAGGCGAGTCCCAAGTGCCTGCTTCCCAGACCACTGCACACGGCCCTGGGGGACACACCACCACCCATCACTGTATCCCGGCCCTGGCCCGCTTCCTTTATCCACACCCCAGAGAGAGCACTGCACGGTGACCAGGGGTTGGAAGGGTTTAGCAATCAGACCGCTCATTTTTCTTTTTGGTGGAAGAGAAGGGGAACCTGGTCTCAATTTATGCTCTAGATCCAAGGTCTGCCATAAGCTCACAAAACTAAAACAGACACCCTGGCCCTGTATCCTTTCCCGACAAACTTCAGAAATTCAGCCTCCACAATACTTGCAGAGATAATGCTTTCTTGTGGTTTTTAGTGACCATGCCAAATGAGGAAGGTTTATGGTCCACATGAGATGGCCTGGGAGCACCGTCATAGGGGACTGCAGACCGCAAAGGCGTGGGGTCCTCTGGGAAGGCCCTCAGGGCTGACCCACCAGAGACAGCCCAGCAGGCCTGGGAGGGAGCCAGCCAGGGTGACTCATGGAGCACCAAACTCGGCTGGCGCTAGATCAGGCAGAAGAATTGATGGAAACGTTCTCCTCAGCGTATACAAGCATCTTCTGATGAGAAGAAAATAACCTCAAAGGAGTCCTGGGTGGACCGATAAGCATCGCTGGCCTCAGGCCACCCGCAGTTTTCAGAAGCGGTCCGATCTTCATAAGCTCACAGCCGCGTGTTCACCCAGCGGGCTTGAGAGCCTGCGTCAGCTGGGAGCAGAGGGACAAGCAGAAAGGACAATGGGAGGAAATGGCAATTGCATCCTTAGGTGCAAACACGATGGGAAATTCAGACGTGTGCTTGCATCTTAAAAGAGAGGAACATCTGTATTTCACATCAGGGCACTTGAGAGACGCCAAGGAGTGGCTCGTGGCTTCGGAGATTTACAACTTTGGCACATGTGGATGCTCAGGCCTCCCCCAGGGGAGCTGCTGCAGTACTAAGCGCGAGGAGTCCTTGGGTAGTCAGCTTGCAGGCAGGATCTGCACCAGACCCTAGTTCCAGCCCTGGCCTGCTGCAAGGCCACAAACCCCTTGCCCCTGGGCCTCAGTCTCTCTTTCTGGAACATCAGAGTCTTGGACAAGATGAGAGGTGTACTGGCATGAACTGTCCAATATGTTGAAGTCCCTGTCCCCGCCCCACCCCAGCATACCTAAGCTTATGCATCTGGAGATAAAGACTTTAAACGGGTGAGTGAGTTAAAATGAGGCTCTTAAGGTGGGTCCTAATCCAATGGGACTGGTGTCCTTATAAGACAAGGTGTCTAAGAAAATTTGCACACACAAAGAGATCCCCCTGGGATGTGCACACATAGAGGAAAGGTCACCTGAGACACAGTCAGAAGTTGCCATCTGCAATCCTGGAAGGGGAGCCTCAGTAGGAACCAAGCCTGTTGGCACTTTGATCTTGGCCTTCAGGCTGTGGAGGTGTAAGAAATCAATTTCTGTGCTTAAGCCACCCAGATGGTGGCACTTTGTGACGGCAGGCCTACGACACCTGTACAAGTGGCTCCAATGTCATTTTAGACTCAGAGCCCTTTCTTTAAATGAAATCTTATATGCAGAAGCCTGTTTTATGAAGGGTGGTGTTACTTAGCTGAAGGCAGTACTGGGCCTTGCCCATCACCTTCTCCCTCCACCAGCCCCTGTGGCTTCTCAGGGGAACCTCTGGGTTCCACACATCCTGGGAGCAGAAGCTGAAACCATGCAAGGGGCCCCCAAGCTCTGGGCTCCTACCCTTCTGGGCTTCTGAGCCACAAACCACGGCAGTCTCTTCCCTAGGACCGACTTACCACCCAGTTCTAGTGGGCAGGGGGGTCCTTTTCACAGTTCCCCTGGGGGCCAGTCCTGGGGACTCTTGAACAGCCCGAGGCAGGCACAAAGCTGAAGGACAGACGCCAGGCAGGCCCAGGAGCCCTGAGGCCCCACCCAGGTTCCACTGCCCATGGCTCCCGTTGGCCCGTCCCTTCACCTAAAAGCCTCCCCGTGTGAACGTGGCATTTGGCACACAAGTTTCTGAATAAGAAGAAAAATATGCCCAAGTGGCCTAGAAGCATGGCGCCAGTGTCTAGCCACTCACCTAAAACAAATGTCCGCAAGGCGTGTCAGTGGGCAGCTCGGCCTTGGCCTGACCGAGTGACCTCAGGCAAGTCCTCACCTCTTTTTCAGCCTGAGTCCTCATTTAGATGAAGCAGAGGCCTAGAGCAAAGGATCCCCGGGGACCCTCTGGGATGCAAACAAGTGAGTCTGGTTCCTGACTCTGATCTTAAGACATCCAGCTTCTCATAGGCAGTAATTAGCCAGAAGACCCAACCTGCCTCCACCTGTCCACTGGGACATCAAGCCCTGAGCAATTACGTCCCACTGCATCAGCTAATCTGGCTTCCCAGAGGCTATACCCCAACAGCACTTCCCTACCCAGCTGCAGAGGTGGAGCGTCTGCCTTATGAAAGGGCAACTGTGGTAGACCAAGAGAACCTGGCTCTAAAGGCAGGGAGCCCTGGGCTCAAACCCGAGTGCTGCCACTTACAGGTTGTCCCCTTCTCAGAGCCTTGGTGTCCCCACCTGCCTGATGGGTATGAGGACGCCTCCTGCTATTAGAGATCACTGTGAGAACTGGATGGGATGAACTATATAAAGCATCTGGCATTTGGTAAATGTTACTTCCTTTTTCCTACGATAACAACATGAAAACAAGAAAACAATGACCAAGAGGTCATGATTCCTGCAACCTTAACTATTCGTATCACAGCCAAGAACCCAGAATAAATCGAGACCTCCAAGAGGTTGAAATGTAGCTGCGAATATCTGAAAAGGGTCTGGAGAGAGCGGATATTGACTGCTTTCCCAGGAAGGCAGAGAGGGAAGGGACAATGAGTCAGAAGACCTGGGTGTCTGGCCCCTCTGCCACCTGTGCCGCATGGCCTTGGCAAATTGCTTTCTATCTCTGAGCCCTTGGGTGTGTCTTTCCCTGACGAAGATAACAATAGCCACTCCTGAGGCTTGCTGGAAGAGATCCTGAGAAGGCTTTGCAAAGGGCAGACAGCTCCAGGGCTGGAGAGCTCAATGTCAATCCCCCTGTCCAGGCAGTGAGAACTTGGTGGGAGACTGTGCCTGGAGGAAGGAAGAGAGGAGCAGCCCAGATTCCACAGCCACTGGCCAAAAAGCCCTTCCCAAGCTGTCTTCCCTCAACACCTGCCATCTTCCCCAACTCCGGGACCGCCCCTCCCAACCTCACACAATCAATCTCTGCAAACCCTCACCAGTGGCTTGTGCC